CTTACACGGAGCACTATAACACACAACGTACTTTTAAAGAATATTTACTCGTTTCTGTGTGGCAGTAGACATTTTGGACACTTGTCACTTCTACTTCATCGATCTTCAGATGACATCACTCTTTGTAGTCTGTTGTCAACATCCACGTGATGGAGAAGCGCACGAGTCCGGAATATCAAATGGTTTTGTGTTTATGGATGCTGCTTATTTTTGCATAAGAAATCTCTTGTGTTTAAAACACAGGAAGAAAAGAACACGTTACCCAATATACTTGTCTGAATGATAGATTTTATTCCTTTCAAAAGCTCCTCCCAGAAACCTTTTCAGTTAACGCACCAGCAAGAGTAGTTTGTATTTGGCATTTTGCCAGAACATTTTTCTAAGTTTGTGAATCTAATCTGAGTATAATATTTATAATAAAAAAAAACTTCTTTTCTTATGCATTGAATAATTGTGAATAGCTCGTTTACGCACACACACACACGCGGAGGTTTCCGGGCTTGCAACACTAAAATCCGGGGTTCGATTATCCGCGGTGGGCAGATCGCTGACAGCCCATTGTTTAGCTTTGCGCGGAAATACCGACAAAAACAGGCCCAGCATGGCCAGGTGGTTAGGGGGCTCGGCTCACAATCTGACGGTCGCGGGTTCGAATCTCCGTCCCACCAAACATGCTCGCCCTTTGAGCTGTGGGGTCGTTATAATGTGACGGTCAATCTTACTATTCGCTGGCAAAAGAGTAGCCCAAGCGTTTGCGGTGGATGGTGATGACCAGCTGCCTTACCTCTAGTCTTACACTGCTAAATTAGGGACGGCTAGCGCAGATAGCCCTCGTGGAGCTTTGCGCGAAATTCAAAAACAAACGAACCGACAAAAACAACACTGTAAAAATAAATATTTTGTAGAAAAATACCATGAGAATCCTTTCACAATGAATATATTTTACATCTTAAGAGTTGCTTGTAAAATAGAAGACAAATAAAAAAAGTAACCGAGCATTTACGGGTTTAATAATATGCTCATCTTTCCTATTTCAAATACTCCTAACACATAATTAGTGGCATCATATTACGTTATCACAGTAATTCATTTGTTACGAGTACTAAAATGTTTAATTTTCTGATTAATAAATCTGATTTTTATTTTAATTCTCCTAAGAATTGCATTTTGGTTGATTTTAACCAAAAAAAAAAAGGGTTTAGTTTTGATTTAGTTTTCTGTAAGAAAGATTGATGTTGTATTTGCCCTCACAAAATACATTAAGTAAAACATGTTAAATATGTTAATCGTAAGCTATTATTTATAAATGGAAAATATGTTTCTGATATCGTGTAAACATCTCAGTACTACTCTGAAACAATTAATAAAAACACTTGTTCATGAAGAAGAAGCTTGGGCTAACTTGTGACTTCTGTGCGCCTCTGTGATAACAAGGATTAAAAGCAGAACTGTATACTAATACATTTCAGGAAGTATAGTGTGTTTGGAAGCAACAAGTAAACAAGGCTTAAGAAATGGCAAAATATATAGTGTGTTTTAAACCAACGAGTGAACAAGGCTTAAGAATAACTTCTAAGCCAACACCTAAGAGATGTAAGAATATATCGTATGTTCGAAACCAACAAGTGAGTAAGGCTTAAGAAATGTCAGATTATATAATAAGTTCGAAACGAACAAGCGAGTAAGGCTTAATAAATGTCAGATTATATAGTATGTTCTAAACCAACAAGTGAACAAGACTTAATAAATGTCAGATTATATAGTATGTTCTAAACCAACAAGCGAACAAGACTTAATAAATGTCAGATTATATAGTATGTTCTAAACCAACAAATGAACAAGACTTAATAAATGTCAGATTATATAGTATGTTCTAAACCAACAAGCGAGCAAGACTTAATAAATGTCAGATTATATAGTATGTTCTAAACCAACAAGCGAGCAAGACTTAATAAATGTCAGATTATATAGTATGTTCTAAACCAACAAGCGAACAAGACTTAATAAATGTCAGATTATATAGTATGTTCTAAACCAACAAGTGAACAAGACTTAATAAATGTCAGATTATATAGTATGTTCTAAACCAACAAGCGAGCAAGACTTAATAAATGTCAGATTATATAGTATGTTCTAAACCAACAAGTGAACAAGACTTAATAAATGGCAGATTATATAATATGTTCTAAACCAACAAGCGAGCAAGACTTGAGAAATATCAGAATCTACCACATGTTTGAATCAAACAACATCACCAAGTGTTTCCTAACAAACGACAACATATATCGTGTGCTCGAGACCATGGCTGAAAAAGAACCTAAAACAACGTGTAAAAAAATAATCAATATTTAGTGTTAAGTTAAAATAAAGATTTAATGCCACACAGACTCTTACCATAAAACAATATAGGTGACAATACATATGAATTAAATCGTCCTAAGAGTTTCTTTATCCTAAATCATCATTCCACAGTAAACTAGACTTTAACTGCATGTGTTTTATAAAACAAGCTGCAAAACGAATCCAAAACTTTTTCGGTTGCCTATCTTTGTTAGCTCTTTGAAACCTAATGTTTAAAAACAGGTCATATATATATATATTGTTATTCATTTTGTTACTAACACGTGAGTTTCATATCATACCAAATAATTCTATATTACTGTTATCATGTTTCGGATCTGGTTTTGAATATGAAAGTATCAGTTGTGAGAGTATGCAGATAAATGATGAAAGTATCAGTTGTGAGAGTATGCAGATAAATGATGAAAGTATCAGTTGTGAGAGTATGCAGATAAATGATGAAAGTATCAGTTGTGAGAGTATGCAGATAAATGAAACAATAGAGCAGCTTTTATATATTGGTCTGTCACATGATTCTAATTAATAAATTGTTTAGGGAGGAAATTTATAGTCATCATCTCGTTTCTGTTACTTACAAACGTTTCGTAACGTACATGATGTAGTGTGAATATCTGTCACTTACAAAAGTTTCGTAACGTACATTATGTAGTGTGAATATCTGTCACTTACAAAAGTTTCGTAACGTACATTATGTAGTGTGAATATCTGTCACTTACAAAAGTTTCGTAACGTGCATTATGTAGTGTGAATATCTCTCACTTACAAACGTTTCGTAACGTACATAATGTAGTGTGAATATCTCTCACTTACAAACGTTTCGTAACGTACATAATGTAGTGTGAATATCTGTCACTTATAAACGTTTCGTAACGTACATTATGTAGTGTGAATATCTGTCACTTACAAACGTTTCGTAACGTACATAATGTAGTGTGAATATCTGTCACTTACAAACGTTTCGTAACGTACATTATGTAGTGTGAATATCTCTCACTTGCAAACGTTTCGTAACGTACATGATGTAGTGTGAATATCTCTCACTTACAAACGTTTCGTAACGTACATGATGTATTGTGAATATCTGTCACTTACAAACGTTTCGTAACGTACATTATGTAGTGTAAAAATCTGTCACTGACAAACGTTTCGTAACGTACATGATGTATTGTGAATATCTGTCACTTACAAACGTTTCGTAACGTACATTATGTAGTGTAAAAATCTGTCACTGACAAACGTTTCGTAACGTACATAATGTAGTGTGAATATCTGTCACTTACAAACGTTTCATAACGTACATAATGTAGTGTGAATATCTGTCACTTACAAACGCATATTAATGAGAATTTTCATTCACACTATGAAAAATACGTCTTATTCTCATAATTATATAAGACTTAAGTTTATTATTATTGTTTAACATCAATAACTTTGTATTTCTATATCTAGTGTGAAACCACCTTGTATTCCTTTATCTAGTGTGAAGCCACTTTGTATTTCTATATTTAGTGTGAAACCACCTTGTATTTCTATATCTAGTGTGAAACCACCTTGTATTCCTTTAGCTAGTGTAAAGCCACTTTATATTCCTTTAGCTAGTGTGAAGTCATTTTGTATTTCTATATTTAGTGTGAAACCACCTTGTATTTCTATAGCTAGTGTGAAACCACCTTGTATTTCTTTATTTAGTGTGAAGCCACTTTGTATTCCTTTAGCTAGTATGAAGTCACTTTGTATTTCTATATTTAGTGTGAAGCCATTTTGCATTTCTTTAGCTAATGTGAAGTCATTTTGTATTTTTATATTTAGTGTGAAGCCACTTTGTATTCCTTTAGCTAGTATGAAGTCATTTTGTATTTTTATATTTAGTGTAAAGCCATTTTGCATTTCTTTAGCTAATGTGAAGTCATTTTGTATTTCTATATTTAGTGTGAAGCCACTTTGTATTCCTTTAGCTAGTATGAAGTCATTTTGTATTTTTATATTTCGTGTGAAGCCACTTTGTATTTCTTTAGCTAATGTGAAGCCACTTTGTATTTCTTTAGCTAATGTGAAGTCATTTTGTATTTCTATATTTAGTGTAAAGTCATTTTGTATTTCTATATTTAGTGTGAAGCCATTTTGTATTTCTTTAACTAATGTAAAGTCATTTTATATATCTATATTAAGTGTGAAGCCACTTTGTATTTCTTTAACTAATGTGAAGTCATTTTGTATTAATTTTGCTTAACTTTAGGTTCTACTGAGATTATATCTGTTGTCTGCACATCGTGGATATTTACTCGAATTGTTTTTGGTTTCTTTCTAGCTTTTATCAACATCACAATATGTTAGAAAAACAAAACTAAAACTTAATTAGCGGGTTTCAGCCACTTTCTCTAAACTTCGTAAAGTTATACAATAAAAGCTTGGCATAGAAGTTAAATCCTGTAGTAGAAGAAACATAATAACAACTTTTGACATGTAAAATAAAGACCGAGGTAAGAACTGTTTAAGTTTGAAACAATTGTGAACGATTAATCAAAGTCTATATGCGCACAAAGCAAAGAGTCAGTTGTGTATAACACAATTGTGATTAATGTTGTGTTTATTTAAACTACAGTAATATTGGAGTGTAACTGATCTATTATTTTCCACAGCCGAATGTCATTATCATAATCTGTTTCCAAGCAACAAAGAAATCGACAAAAATCCAGAGCTGGATCGCACAATTATGGGTAAGTTACTACCACGTATACGGGGCAACAATAATTTTTATTGTTTAGGCAACAATACCGATTATTATTCAGAAATAAATACAAATGATTTCACAAACTGATAATGGGATTGTGAGATCGTCACTCCCCAGTGTTCATCTTAATATATGATTCATTTATACATATATTGAAAGATTTACTGATTCTTATCAGCTCTTCATAAAATTCCTTCTGCTCCTCTCAATAACGGAAATTTCATTTCAAAAACGCCCCCCCCCCCTAGTGGCATAGCGGTATGTCTGCGGACTTATACTGCTAGAAACCGGGTTTCGATACTCGTGGTGGCCAGACCACAGATAGCCCATTGTGTAGTTTCGTGTTTAACTACAAACAAACAAACATTTAAAAAAAAATAATAGGAAGGAGAATGTTAGGTTTTGAAAACGATACAAGCAAGTCAAACCAAGAACTGCTTGAAAGTCTGATAAAAATGATAAACCATGGGACTTACCTCACTTGTAAGGATAAGCTATAACGAACATATCTTTATTGTTAATGCTCTTAACACGTTTCTATCTTCTGAATGTTAACTGTTAAACTGTAATTGTGTAGTTAAGCTCCATCAGCTGTTAAGTTATAATTCACATTTTTAGATTCAAAATGGTAAATGATTTTCGTAAGCCTATTTTCAAGTAGAGTTTGCATATTTTTACTTACATACAATCCCGCGTCAATACGAAACTTCTGGAAAACAGACTCAAAAAACAGTTACTAGAATTTAATCTTTAATAGTATTACACAAGCTTAAGTCTAATAAGATTAAATTCGTCCTTAAATTACGTAATGTGGATTTTAAAGACTAAAAATTATCGTAAAATAATATTTCTCTGTGATTATGCAATTACAATAAAGAAAGCCTAAAAATACAAAAATAACAAACAATTTTTATCGTTCCCAAAATATTCTAAAGACAAAAATATTCATGAAACACTATATACAATGGATTATATTATAGCCGAATATACCATAAATTATTCTTGACGTGCTTAAAATAATTTAAAACTTAATATGACTTATATGTACAAAACTAAGTTATCTGGTGTTTGATTGTGGATTTTATTTTTTATATTTCTCTCAAAATCATTATAGTAATTCTTTTCCCGCCATAAATCAAAACTTTAATATTGCCTCATCTTCCTTCCTACACTAGCCTTCGTTCAATTCCGCGCAAAGATACTCGAGAGCTATCTGTGCTAGCCGTCCTAATGTAGAAGCTATGGACTAGAGGAAAGTCAACTACCCACCGCCTACTTTTGGGCTACTATTTTACCAACGAGTTTTTTGTTTTTGAATTTCGCGCAAAGCTACACGAGGGCTATGTGCGCTAGCCGTCCCTA